CTCAGGGGAACCTGGGCATTGCTTCATTCAAGGGTTCCAGGTCTACAAACTGTCTCAAATCTAAAACTTTCTCCCAGGCTGAGAATCACTTTGCACGGTCCAATGCAGCCACTCGCCCCCAAATCAATTCTTCAGTTTCCAGAGACAGAACTGGGAGAATATTCGCTAGCTGCCTATAGCATTTCATTTCTAAAGCAGCTTATTGCTGGCAAGCTCCAGGAATCTGTTCCAGACCCGGAGCTGATTGATCTGATCTACTGCGGTCGGAAGCTAAAAGATGACCAGACCCTTGACTTCTATGGTATTCAGCCTGGGTCCACAGTCCATGTTCTCCTCAAATCTTGGCCCGAGCCTGATCAGAAACCTGAACCTGTGGACAAAGTGGCTGCCCTGAGGGAGTTCCGGGTGCTGCACAGTGCCCTGCAGAGCAGCTGGTCCTACAGAGAGGCGGTCTTTAAGATGCTCAGCAATAACGAGTCTCTGGATCAGATCATTGTGGCCACTCCAGGCCTCAGCAGTGATACCATTGCTCTAGGGGTTCTCCAGGACAAGGACCTCTTCTCTGTCTTTGCTGATCCCAACATGCTGGATACATTGGTGCCTGCTCACCCAGCCCTGGTCAATGCCATCATCCTGGTTCTGCACTCGGTAGCAGGCAGCACCCCAATGCCAGGAGCTGACTCCTCTTCCCGAAGCATGCCCTCCAGCTCGTACCGGGATATGCCAGGTGGCTTCCTGTTTGACGGGCTCTCGGATGATGAGGACGACTTTCACCCAAGCACCCGGTCTACGCCCTCTAGCAGTACACCCAGCTCCCGCCCGGCCTCCCTGGGGTACAGTGGAGCTGCTGGGCCCCGCCCCATCACCCAGAGTGAGCTGGCCACTGCCCTGGCCCTGGCCAGTACTCCAGAGAGCAGCTCTCACACACCAACTCCTGGCACCCAGGGCCATTCTTCAGGTACCTCGCCAATGTCCTCTGGTGTCCAGTCAGGAACGCCCATCACCAGTGATCTTTTTAGTCAAGCCCTCCATCATGCCATGCAGGCCTCTGGGCAGCCCAGCCTTCAGAGCCAGTGGCAGCCTCAGCTGCAGCATTTGCGTGACATGGGCATCCAGGATGACGAACTGAGCCTCCGTGCCCTTCAGGCCACTGGAGGGGATATCCAAGCAGCCCTGGAGCTGATCTTTGCTGGAGGAGCCCCATGAACTTCTAGTACCTGAGTGCCTAGCAAGTTGCAGAGGCGATTCCTAGAAGGAGACACTTGTGAAGTTGCCTCCAGCTTCCCCCACCCTCCCAATATATCTGATGGTCTACTCAAAAAAAAAAACAAACGGATCTTGGGATCTTCCGGAATCAGTCTAACAGACTCCAAGAAGTCTGATTGTTTCCTTTTCCCCAGTATACAGCTACCCTTGTAAAAGGCCATAGGTTCTTTTGGGGAAGAACTTGAGAAAGGGTAACAATAAAACACTTAGATATTTTATCAAGATCCTTCCTCAGGGGAACCTGGGCATTGCTTCATTCAAGGGTTCCAGGTCTACAAACTGTCTCAAATCTAAAACTTTCTCCCAGGCTGAGAATCACTTTGCATGGTCCAATGCAGCTTTTCTTTCATCCGTTAGAGAATTTTTCTGCTTATTCAGATCAAACAAATTTAGTTGGTGTCTTATCTGTTTCACACCTGGAAATACCATGATTGATTGGCCAGTAAGAAAAGGTCAATATGAGTCATGTACCAAAAGAAAAAAAAATCACTTTGCCTGTGCTGATCATTATAGGTTGGACCATTATGGACTTTATCTCTGCTGTCCATTGTGATAGCTATGATTACATTGTCTTTGTCAATCAGTGTTGCCTCCTGACCCCTGCTACCTCAAGAACCAATTCAACCTATTGCATTTAATTCATCCAACTGATCAGTAGTGTTTCCAACCCTAAGGTATAGCACAATGAAAAGTGAAAAAAAAAAAAAAAAGCTTCAAATGTGCTGGTGCTCCTTACACCACTTTGCAATTTATAGGATTGGCAAAGGGCATGTCATCTGGGCTTTTCCATTATGGAGGATTAGGTTTTACACTGTGTACCCACTCCAACATTGCAATTTCCCTCAGCCTTAATATCCCTTCATTGACACTAAACCAAGGGTGTCTGGCATCTCCAAATCCTTTTGAGTATACCATCTTTTGACAAATGCTTCAACCAACCATTCAAACAATCTTTTTACACTTTTTTTTTTTTACTGTGAGAGTTTCCATATTAAACCTAGACTCTCCATTCAGAGGGCCCATATCAATAAACTCAGCCTGATCAAGTTTTATGTTCCTTCCACCATTATCCCACACACCTAAAATCCATTCCCACACATCTTCCCCAGACTTCTGCTTGAATAAATTAGCAAATATATCAAACTCTTCAGTGGTGTGCACAATATCTATTTCTTTTCTAGGAGTCTGCTTTGCATTGAGTCCAGTTATGGTTCTAGAGGCAAGTATTGGTGGGCCCTGAGGGACATCAGCATTGTTTTGTCTAACATTTCCTTCAGAGAAAGCCACTGATGTTTTGGCAGACAGTGAAAGATTAATGTCCTCATTCAAAAATGAAAAAGTCAGTATTTCAAAGGGTGGGACTAAGGGTACTATTTCTCCAGTTTAGATAAATTTCTCAGTTGAGAATCTGAGTGTTCAAAGTCATGTGCTTCAGTTGGTCCCTTCCACACATCCCCTTCCCATGTTACAGGTTCTCATTCTTTATCAGATTGGGCCCTTACTTCAACCAGTAGGACATGCCATGGCTGAGACTTGAATTTTCACTCTACTTCAGTGAGCCTTATAATGAGGGCATCAGTTTGGTTTTCCACAACCTCAGTTCTGTGGCTTCTGGAAAGAAGGTTCTCTTTCAGGGCAAAATTAGAAAACTTCAAACTGTTTATATGAAGCTGGAGCTGGCCAATTTTCTCACCAAGTTCATTGTTGTCCTTCCATGTGTTGTAAGAAGCTAAAAGTTGGTTAATGTTATCACAGAGCTCAACCCTAAACTTTGTCAGTTTCTCCAGAGGTGCTAAGAGCAACCAACCAGTATCATCACTTTTCTTATTTTTCCCCAAACTGTAGAAAGTTTCATACAAAGTGTCACCTGTCAGGGACCTACCCTGGCCTGTCAAAGGGTTCTTGGAGGGAGAAGTGAGGATTGAGAAATAATAGGAAGAAATATAGATGTAGAAGGAAAGACAAAGACACAGGACAGCTTTGGGAGGGCCCTGGGTCAATACCCAGTCGCCCTGAGTTTATTCATGATGGGCTTTTTGTACATCAGCAAGGGGAGGGGCAAAAGACCTAACCCTTTCAAGGTCGAGGTATAAAGTACCAACAAGTGTAGACACTTCAAAACACCTGGTAAACACACCTTTGGACAAATCATCCTATTGGGTGAAGCAAGCTCAGACTTTCTGACCTTGAGTAAGGCCTTGCTAGGGAGCCTCTGTGGGCCCCACAGCCACCAAGTGCATTGCCACTAACAACTGGTGAGTCAGGATAATCAAATGCATTTATATCCTTTAAGTTTGTGATATAGTTAACACCATGTTTGTTCAGCACTCTCCAGTCTCCCAGAAGAGGCTTCAGTGACTGCAGAATCTTTGGTAATAACAGTTGTTGGTGAATTGAAAACCTATTCCAGATATTTAAAAGGTTCATCCTTATACTTCTGTTGTTTACAGCAGTCCTCAACTTGTGGGTCACAACTCCTTTAGTACATCTTTATCTCTAAACATTACTTACATTATAGTTATGAAGTAGCAATGAAAATACTTTTATAATTGGAGATCTCCACAACATGAGGAGCTATATTAAAGGGTTGCAACATTAGAAAGGATGAGAGCCACTGTTCCAGAATTACTTCTCATGCCAAAATTGGTATTATACTTCTCTGGAGAAACAGAGCTTATAGAATGAAAACTAAAATACATATTTAGGGTTTATTGGAAAGACTTACAGTCTGCAGCTTATCCAACAATAACTGGCTGTGACTGGAAAGTTCAATACTCCAGGAATTGCTCAGTCCCTAAGACTGGATATCTCAGCTGGTCATCAGTATACACTGGAATCCCAAAAAAGTAGACTCTAATTTCAGTGAAGAAACTGACTTGCTAGCAAGGTGAGTGCAAGCAGAGAAAGAGTAAAAACTTCCGCCGGGCGGCTGTGGCGGCGGCGGCACATGCCTTTAATCCCAGCACTCGGGAGGCAGAGCCAGGCGGATCTCTGTGAGTTCAAGGCCAGCCTGGGCTACCAAGTGAGCTCCAGGAAAGGCACAAAGCTACGCAGAGAAACCCTGTCTCGAAAAACCAAAAAAAAAAAGAAAAGAAAAAAAGAAAAAAGAAAAAAACAAACAAACAAACAAACAAAAAACCAAAAAAAAAAAAAAACTTCCTTTGTCTTAGTCCTTATATAGGCTTCTAGCAGAAGGTGTGGCCCAAATTAAAGGCGTGTCTACCCACCTTAAAGATCCAGATTAAGCCGGGCGGTGGTGGCGACGGCCTTTAATCTCAGCACTCAGGAGGCAGAGCCAGGCAGATCTCTGTGAGTTTGAGGCCAACCTGGTCCACAAAGAGAGTTCCAGGAAAGGCGCAAAGCTACACAGAGAAACCCTGTCTCAAAAAACCAAAAAAAAAAAAAAAAAAAAAAAAAAAGATCCAGATTAAAGGCCTGAGTGTTCCTACTTCAAAGACCCAGATTAGCAGTAGATCTACTTACTTCAAATTAGGTAAATGCCCCTCACAGATGTGCCTTCCATTGTTGCATGTTAGTTAATTCCAGATGTGGTCAAGTTGACAACCAAGAATAGCCATTACAGGTAGGCAAGGCACAGGGATTGGGTCAGGATACACTCAGTAGATCCAATGTTGAAATCAGGGCTTCATACTTTTCACAATAAGAGTGCTTTTCCCTGTGAACCATCTCCCTGGCTCTTGATACCTTACAGGTTATTTACATAACATCCATCATTTCCCTTTATCCCACATCTCTCTTGCATGCGTGGTGGGGAAAGGCTTCCAGTCTTTCTCTTCCAACTGGCTTTTATTGCTTATTTGTGCTGAGACAGGCTCTGCTGTAACCCAGCGTGGCCTCAAACTCAGCAGTTGTAGCTGAGGATGATCTCAAATTCCAGAGCCTCCCACTGCTGCCTCATGAGTACTGGGATGTCAGGCATGATCCTCCATGGCTGGTTTGTGCCATGCTGAGGATGGAACTACTAATCCCACTGAAAGAGAGTAAAGACTATTTCCAAAATTATTTGGTCGAATCAAGTTAGCTTTACTTTCTGTTAGACAGGGCTATCACCCTAAAGCTGGGTTTGAGAAAGTAGCAATGAACACAGGAGAAGGTAGGGTTTCTATAGCCAAAACCCAGCAGGACTATGGGGTTCTCAAAGGGTCAGGAGATTTCCAGAGGAAATTTGGTTACATAGGAACTTGGCTGAGCATTTCAAAATTATTTGGCAGAACATACCTTATCAGGGTGTCAGTCAAACTCAATAGAGTAGGGAGCATGTCAAATTCCATAAACAGGTTAAATCTGGTCAACTTGAAAGTTGCAGCAAACAGAAATGGACTTGTACTGACCTTATAATGGAGGCACTTCCATCATTAAGATGGTGTCAGTCTGCTTCATCAGAACCAAGGGTGCTGTGCATTCTAGGCCAGCAGTCTGCCACAGAGCCTCAGCCCCAACCCACGGCTTATATTAAATATCTGTCTTGATGCCTCTCTGCACATCCCTCTATTGCTGATACAATGTTAATGTACCTCACTTGGTTGAGAAGAAATTCATGACAAATTTGCCATTTACATCCTGGAGTCTTTTAGTAAATACACGAATGACAAAATCTAGAATTGGTCCTCCCTCAGACTATTAATCTGTCAGTCTGTTGGTGCTATTGTTCTTAAGGAGATGGAAACAGGGCATCTAGGCTCATGCCTGCAAGCAATCTCACCAGTTAGAATTCTGAGGGAAGAGGACTCTATGAGGTCCAGCCCACTCAAGGGTATATTGGAAATTCAGGCCACTTTAGACTACACGGTTATATTCCTTTAAAAAAAAAATAGACAAATGGATAAAATGGAAACTGTTCAGCCTTTCTGATTTTTTTCTGATTTGATTTTTCTGGTGCAGTGGGGTTGGTGTGTTAAGACTATTACTACTCATGAAATAAGAGAATTGTCATTACCAAACATAAGGATGAGAACTGATATTTTAAACTTTATTTATTTATTTATTTATTTATTTATTTATTTATTTATTTATTTATTTATTTATGTAAG